CAGGAAAAGAAGGGCTCGTCCGGGATTTGAACCCGGGACCTCTCGCACCCTAAGCGAGAATCATACCCCTAGACCAACGAGCCACTGATGGTTACCCCTGGCCAGATGTCCCTTCCCTGCCACATCGGCAGCAGCCACAGCTCGTGGTTTTGAGAGGAGGCCTCTCTTCTCCTCCTTCCAGGCTGGCTCCCAGCCCAGGCCGGCTGGGCTCCAGCCGGCCTCGCCCCTTGGCTCTCTCCTGCTCCTCCCCGGCCCACTGCGGAGCCACAGAGATGCCCTGGTGCTCCAGGCAGGGCCCCTTCTTCCCCGTGACCAGCCGGTTCTCTCCCAGGGCTGCTGGGGAATGGCAGAGAAGGCCAGGTTCCAGCCACCTCCACTTCCCAGGGAACCCCTGGCTTAGGGAGCCTGTCTGGAATCTCCCGTACCCAAGGAAGAACCATCCTTCTTTCTTACCTCATGATCAGACCACCAGAAAAAAATCCTCCAAGCCCAACAGCCTCCCAGGTGAGGACCCAGAAGGCCATCCCAGATCACTCTTGACTAGGTGACATTTGCTAAATTGCTCAATTTCTTCATCTGTCAGTTGGGGAAGTAACACCTGTCCTGTCTGCCTTACAGGGTAATTTGAGGACCAGGTGAGAGGATGTATGGGAAAGTACTCTGCAAACTGTAAAGTGCTGTACAAAAGAAAGAGGTTATTATGATGACAACATGAGGGCAGGAAAGTGGCCACTGAATGCTTCCTGTGGGCTGGGCATGTGTTCTGTGCCTTACAGATCTTATTGAACCTCCCCACAACCTTGTGAGGAGGTTCATCTGTGATAGCTGTCATCTTCATTGGAAGAAAAAGAAATTTGCCTAAATTCAGCTGATAAGAGACACATTTATCTGAATCCAAAGCCTGTTTTAAACATAGTACACACTGCTACCCAGACTTTCTGGAAAACTAGAGATGAGAATACATCCTGTACATACCCATTCTCCCTCTCCAACCCCAGCCTGCCCTGCTCATCCCGCCCAGGGAGGCTGCTGGGAGGAACCTGCCAACAGACTGAGAGTGGCCTGGGTGGAGGTCCTTGGGGCTGGGAGTTTCCCAAACGAGCGGGAGAGGGGAGATCATGCCTCAGAAACTGGGGCTTTGTTGGAGAACCCAGTGGGCTCAGCCAGACTCTCTTTTGTGCTTCCACTGTACCACATCCATCACACCCTGGGGACCCTTGCTTGCTTCCACGGGGACTGCCCTCTGTGAGGCTGGGAGCACCAGGGGCCAGAAGCCTGTCCTATTTGGGTCCTGCTCTGTATCCAGCACTTGGCAATCCTGCTCACAATACAAAAGGTTCCCAAGCATTTCTGTGTGCTGGGCCTTGTGTAGGCACTTTACCAGATTAATCTCATTTCATCCTCACAGCACAACTGTTGTTGTAGACATTGCTTAGCAAGTGGCTGTGGAATGAACGAATGAATGAGCAAGTGAAAGGAAGCCAGGAGTGTGCACAAAACATCACTATGACAACAGATATTCAGGTGAATCCGCATCACTTGGCTTGAACTAGAAACATAAGCCTGAAGAAACCTTCCTTCCTCCTTGTAAGCAGGCTTCCTAATGAACCATCCTTCTCTTGGTTAGGTGGGAAGAATGGCTCTCACTTTAGAGAATGGATTGGCCAGCATTCCTTCATACCCAGGGGATGAAGTTTTATCTCCATCCAGGAGTGTCTGGACCAGACAGCTGGCTCTGCTAACTAATCATGGCCAGAGAGAAAGGCAACAGCTCATCCAGTCTAAAACCAAAGGGACTTTTTTGGGTATCTGTTCCCCAGTTTTAAACTGGCTTATAAATAAAAGTACACTCGGCACGTCATTCCATTACCTCAGCACACATTCCCTAAATCGTTCCTCTTGGTGGGTGTGCCGGGGAGTGAGGCTGCTCCATGCAGGCCTCCGAGGGTGACTTTGCTGAGAATGTTTCAGAGCTGAGTTGGGGGTCGGGCCCCACCCAGTGCTTCTCTCTGGGGGTGCTGTTGGAATTTAAGGCAAGATCATTCTTCTTTGTGTGGCCTGTGTGGAGCAGTGTCCTGCCCACTACATACCAGTAATCCCTCCTCCGCTATTGTGACAGCCATAAAACTGTCACACACAGTTCCAAATGCCTCCAGGATGGTGGGGTCCAGGGCAGGAGTGCCACCCTGGTGGAAGTCCGTAGGCACCTACCAAGTATTTTTTCCAGGCTAAAATTACTGTGGCTTTAGTCTAGGCAGTAGGACTTTAGGCCCTCAATGACTCATTTGTCTCTGTGTTTAAAAAGCCACAGATGGAATTCTCTGGGGAGAATCGTGGCTCTACTCCGGAACCTTCTTCCATTTCCTCCCAGGCGTGAGTATGGCTTTAGTCAGGCAAATCCTTGGATGACTCCTTATTTTCACAAGAGCATGTTGACCTTTTTCTTATCTCATCACTTGTCTGGAGAGCCTCACCGTCAGTATTTAACAGACAACATTGTCACAACACTTCATCTCAAGCTCATTGTCACCTCCTACATCAAAAACACAGCAACAAGCAAACACTGGTTGCCTCTGGAGAGGGGAACTGGGTGGCTGACTGGGAAAGAAACTTATTTTTCACCGTATATTCATTTGTACTTTCTGAATTTTTTGTACTTGAGCCCTGGTGTATATATATATAATCCACTCAAAAACAGAAATTAAATTATAGCAAAACTAAGCAGAGAGAAGCAATGATTGCAGAGGACAGAGAGGAATGCATTTCAGGTCTCCCGAGAGCTGAATTGTCCTCTGGATCGAGCAGCCAGCAGAGCTGGTATTGGCGCCCATCCTAATGGTTCTGGTTCATGTCCAGTTCCAAACTGTGCTTTGTGTCAAGTCAATGTGAGGGGATAGTAGCAGGCTCCATCCCGTGAAACTGGTTGTTGTCTCTACTCAGGAGTGTTATTGAGGAAGTTGTTTATAATATCACACTAATGTCTCCTTTGTGAAGTCCCTGGGGAGGCATTATTGTCTGTCATAATCCCAAGAACAGTTGGTTTGTGTTTACTTTCTGGACACTGACTTATGTAAATGAGTATTGCTGGAAGGCACAGATGTGTGGTCCGTTGGTAGCAAGCTCCAAGGGTGGTCATATTTCAACTTCATTCCTCACCCTCGAGCTCCCCTCTGCTCTTTCTCTTTCTTCTTTTGCTCCTACATTTGATTCCTGATTTCTTGTTGTGTCCCATATATTCCTGCAAGCCTCCCTTAAACTATTTCTGGAAAAGGTGGGAGTAAAAATGAAGGCACTACTAAAGAGAATAGGAAAAAATAAACTCTGGAACTACTTAGAAAATATCCTCTTTTTCTAGGACTTTCCTTTTTTTCTGGACAATTAGAATGATCGGAAAAACAGATTTTCTATGGACTGTTTTCCATTCAGTTCTGGGCGTTTGTAAGTCTAAATCCAAATCAACGGTTCTCAACTGGAGGGGACGGGAGCAGGGGCCGATTTTGCCTCTCAGGCAACATTTGTGTCTGGAGACATTTTTGGTTATTTTGACTGGGGTGGTGGTGGTGCTGTTGGCACCTAACGGGTAGAGGCCAGAGATACTGTTAGACATCCTACAATGTATAAGACAGCCACCTCACAACAAAGAATTGTCTGATCCAATATGTCAGTGGTGCTGAGGTTGAGAAATCCTGCTCTAAATATACCTAACATGACCTTCTGTAAAGCCTTAGTGTATTATCTTGTTCGTAAATTAATGAAGTGACTTTAAATCTGAAAAGGGCACTATATATATACATACTAAATGCACTTAAAATGTCTCCAGTTTTTATCTCATTATCCTCGTCCTTTACCACAAGCCCCTTCCTCCAAATCTCCCTTCCTCCTACTTTATGGCTTCAATGACTCTGGAAATTCTTTGTCCTTTGCTTAGGTGCCAGTGAGTCTCTATGCTTGGGTAAGGCTCTTTTTGGGCTGAGCCCCTCAGGGAGCATCTGCCCCCTCTTAGCTGGGGCTGGGTGGGCCCCAGATTGGGCCCGTTGCCCCTCCCTCTGATGTGGGCTGGAGTAGCGTGGGTAGGGACTGTCTGGGAATGCGTCAGGACAGTACTTGGAGAGGTCAAAGATATAGCCACCTGGCCTGGGTAGTGGGAGTGAGAGGGCCTGGGGTGTCTTTGACCTACATCTGTTGGGCTGGCAGCCCAAGCCCAGGGGCTACCCTTGAAGACTCCTGTCAGAACCATTTGCAGAGGTAGACACCTCGATAGAACCCTACAGAGAGCTGAGGCTGACTCACTCCATTCAGCCCAGGCTAACACAGCCAACTGCCCTGCCCAGGGATAGGCACCTTAAACACTGCCTTCAGGGACGGCCTCCGGCCCTGGTCCTAAAGGCTTGCCCAGGCCAAGGGATGTGCTGACTCAGGCAACCAGGTGGAGACCAAGTGGCCTTGCAATTCTTGGACCCTTAGCTGGCTCTCACCAGGAATCTCTGCCAGGAATCCTACCTGTGGGTGAGTGTCTGCGTGGAATGTGCGTGTGTGTGTGTGTGGGTGTGGGCACATGTGCATGAAAACGTCAGTCTTTCAGAGATGGCTAACAAGTCTCCATCAAGCCTCCTCTAGCTCAGGGTTCAAGGGACGTAGATTTTAGTCCTAAAGTGTGGCCTTTGGGAGTTTTAAATGGAAAGCCTGAAGTGTTGGCCCAGCTCCTCTAACTTGGTGGGAATCAAATTCAAATTCTTTTTAATTTTTTTAAAGATTGGCACCTGCGCTGACATCTGTTGCCAATCTTCTTTTCTTTTTCTTGTCTTCTCCCAAAAGCCCCCCAGTACAGAGTTGTATATTCTAGTTGTGAGTGCCTCTGGCTGTGGCATGTGGCTCGCCACCTCAGCATGGCCTGATGAGTGGCGCCATGTCCGCACCCAGGATCCGAACTGGTGAAACCCTGGGCCATCAAAGAGGAGCATGTGAACTTAACCACTTGGCCACGGGGCCGGCCCCTCAAATTCTTTCTGTGCTGCAGTGGGTAGCAGCCAAAAGCTCTGCTCAGCTTTCAGACCTCCCGTTCCAGTGTTTGCTGGGCCCCTTGGAGATTCCTCCGTGCATAGCCCAGCAGTCAGCCTAGGCACTGGGGGGAGTTTATACACAGATTTGACGGCTACCCCTTCTGTGGCTTCCTTCATCCCAGGAAACCTGCCTTCAATTTGCGGCTGCTCTGGAGCCCCAGACCCTGTCCCCTGACTCTTCAAGCCAATCAAGGCTGGGCTTTCTGCTTGAGTTCCAGCTGCTCCTTGCCGTTCAGACTGGAGAGTGTTCTCAGGAAAAAATCCTTTTAAATGTAGCTAGTTCCCTTCATTCAAGTCGAGTCCTTTCAGTTTCTGCCTGCTTTGGGGGTACTTTACAGTGCTTTCAAGTAGTTGTTTTTCATATTTTGTCCAGAGTTTACAATTTTTAACCTATGGGGTGGATTCATTTGATGCAAACTACTCTGCCATTATTACTGGGCCATCCTTTCACTTTTAACTTATCTATGTTTAAGCTGTGTCACTTTTGTCTACATTTTGATAGTCTACTGAGGTGGGGAAGAAGACCCATCCATGAAGGCTGAAGTATGGTGTTGAGCTTAAGTGCAGGTGCAGCTTAGAGCAGAGCTGGCATCATAGGGGCAGGCTTCACAGGCGAGGTCTTTGCGAATTAGGCTGTGAAGGCAGGGCAGGCTTTGGATGAGCAGATAGGAGGAAGACTGTGGGAGCTTGGGCACTGCTGAGCTAAGGGCAGGGACAGGCATGAACATGAGAGGGGCACAGTGTGAGCAAACCAAACCAACCACAACCCAGCTGGAGGAGGTCTGAGTAGGAAAGGTACGCTCTCTGGGGAGACTCAACGTGAGGAACCAGAGGCAGCCTGCAATGCCTTAGACCTCTAGGCATTGCCACATTGCCACTACACTGTGCCATGAAGGCTATTACTAAGCTCCCAGGGCGCTCCTCATTCTCTGCCCCTTCCTGCAGCCTGAGGCTGGTTTCCAGGCTGGCTGAGAGTCCAAGATCTCCGGAGAGGGAGACTTAGAGGGCACCTTCCACAAAGGGACAGTTGGGGCACAGAAACCTATAGGATGTAGTGCTGTCAGAAGCCAAATGGAGATGGCTGACCTCAACAGCTCCATTCAAATGACAAAAAAAAAAAAAAAAAAAAAAAAAGCAGTGGAAGCATCTTTATTAAATATGGGTCAGCGTCTCACAGGCCCCAGTGAGCCTGTTCATTCTGGCACCCATATTGCCCTTCCAGATTCTTTGAGCTCAATCTTTTATCCTCTGAAGAACACACAATCGGCTTTGGGGCCGCAAAATGAGGTTTAGGTGGGGGCTTGGGGATCTTTAATCCCAAATTTTGTCCTTAGGAGGCTTAGGATCAGTACTGATCATTCAGGGAGTCCAAAAGTGGCTTTGGAGGAGGGCTTCTTCGTCTGGGTCAGGGAGAAGCAGTGGTGGGAGGATAATCTATAAGAGGAATCAGAAGGGGTGGGGGACATCCTATGAGCAAAATGTCAGAGGAGGAGGAATTTTTTCTGTACAAGAACATCTCCTCGGTGAGGCCGTGGGATGGGCCTCAGTACCACATCGCACCTGTCTGGGCCTTCCGCCTCCAGGCAGCCTTCCTTGGCATTGTCTTCCTTGTAGGGATGCCACTTAACAGCCTGGTGCTGGTGGCGACATTGCGCTACAAAAAGTTGCGGCAGCCCCTCAACTATATTCTGGTCAACGTGTCCCTGGGGGGCTTCCTTGTCTGCATCTTCTCTGTCCTCATCGTCTTCATTAACAGCTGTCATGGATACTTCGTCTTTGGCCCCCATGTTTGTGCTTTTGAGAGCTTCCTGGGCACTGTAGCAGGTACTGCAGGGGAAGGGGGCTGGGGGGAGGCAAAGGATACTGCTCCAGGATTGGAACCAGGGACCAGGCTGTTGGGTTAGAGCAGGTCCCTAAGGAGGAGTTTGGGGGAGAGGAGTTTGATGCTTTTTTGAATACTCGGGTACAAAGTAGCCCAGACTAGAGTTTGACTGAGTCCCAAACTCTACTCCAACCATAAGTTCTACTCCATGTCTTCCGTGCTTGCTCCACCCTGTCTGTATTCTACTCCACCTGCCAGGCTGCACAGGACTGTCTACCCCATTATCCTCCTGTTTCACCACAGGTCTGGTAACAGGCTGGTCACTGGCCTTCCTGGCCTTTGAACGCTACATTATCATCTGTAAACCCTTTGGCAACTTCCGCTTCAGCTCCAAGCACGCACTGATGGTGGTCCTGGCTACCTGGATCATTGGTATTAGCGTCTCCATCCCACCCTTCTTTGGCTGGAGCCGGTGAGTGCAGGACAGTGGTGCTAACAGCCAGCTCAGGTTGGTGTGGGTGGAGAGTTGGGTATAACCTTTTAGTCTCTGACCTCTACTTTTTAAAGAGCTGGCAGAGTAGGTGAGGGAAAGGGCTCTGGGAGATAAGTGCTAAAGTTTACTCTGCAGTTGGAACTGCTATAACCTCTGCTGGTGAGGACAGAAAATCCTCCCTGCCTTCAGTCGTTGGGCATCCTTGGGGATCTAAGTGGAGAACACAATCTGGGAATCTCAGCTCCCACTCCACTAATTCTTGTGGTGAGCCTGCGGTCAGCAAGTGCTTGTCTTTCTTGTTCGCTGGGTAAGTGCTTGGTCCCTTACAGGTTCATCCCCGAGGGCCTGCAGTGTTCCTGTGGCCCTGACTGGTACACCGTGGGCACCAAATATCGCAGCGAGTACTATAGCTGGTTCCTCTTCATCTTCTGCTTCATTGTACCTCTCTCCCTCATCTGCTTCTCCTACTCTCAGTTGTTGGGGGCCCTCAGAGCTGTGAGTGGGTTTTGTGAGGGTCAGGGAGGAGGGGGTCAGGGGGCTCCAGGTGAGAGGTAAGAGTGAGTGTTCTAGAACATGACATCTCGAGATGTCCATAGCCAGGTAATGGGATATCTAAAAGTAGTGAAGGAAGTTGGGGCAGGGACAATGATGGAATGAGGAATAAGGTGGAGTAATCCCTGCTCAAATATACATGTCAAGAGATGCACGTGATCCTTTCCAATGTCACAGACCAGAGAGCCACCTCCATCTCACCTTCCTCAAGGAAGGAGAGTCGAGGGACTAGGCCAGACGCTGGGACAGAAGAGAGGCAATTGGCCCAGATGCTACCTGGTAGAAAAGCATCCAGAGACCTGGGAGTTGAGGGCTAGGAAGAGGGCGTGATGTTCTCTCTGTGCTCTGCCCAGGTTGCAGCCCAGCAGCAGGAGTCAGCTACGACCCAGAAGGCTGAGCGGGAGGTGAGCCGCATGGTTGTGGTGATGGTGGGATCCTTTTGTGTCTGTTACGTGCCCTATGCTGCCCTTGCCATGTACATGGTCAACAACCCTAACCACGGGCTGGACTTACGCTTTGTCACCATTCCTGCCTTCTTCTCCAAGAGTTCTTGTGTCTACAATCCCATCATCTACTGCTTCATGAATAAGCAGGTAATACTCTCTATTTACATTCCTGAGACCTTAGTCCATAAGACCTGATTCTTCTCACCACTGACTTTTAACTCAGAGCACCTTGGACTCTACTGAAAGGGTTTCTAGGGGTGAACAGGGAAAACCATAGAAACCCTCAGTAGGCTGAGAAGCCCTTGGTAAGCAGAGGGAGGAAGGTGAAATCATAGAGGCAAGATAATGGAACCCAGGGAAAATGGAACTTAGACCATAAAAATCAAGTTGCTCCAAAGGGCAGGATGAGAAGTTTTCCATTTTGTTAAAAAACTGATAGATCAATAGTTCCCCTAAATTTCTAGTCCTTCCATTTCAGTTCTTAATCCTTTCCCTTCCAACTTCTAGCCAGAAAGAGCATATGTGAAGCACAGAAATCACAACATATGCATAAGTCTCTAAAACAGCTTATCATCTGAAGGTACCAGGTGGCCTCATATCTCAAATCCTGAATCTGAGCTAATAAAAAACCCAAACTCAGATGAATCTAGGAGAGTTCCTCTCTTCTAGGGCCAACACCTTGCTTTGAAAATTATTAATAGTTATTTTGTTTCCTCGATCCCAGAGATAGATTCAAAACTAACATGAAGCCTCCTGGATGGAAACAGCATTGGCAGTCCTTTCCCAATCGGGAGCACCTTCTAGCAATGCTGGGGTGGGTGGGCAGACCTGCTCTGGGGCTGCTTTGGACAGTCCTCTTGGGAGGCACCTCTTGTGAGGTTTCCCAACAGCGGGGCCTCCGAGTTAGCCAGAATGTGTAGGGACTATTATTGTAGACCCAGGAATAGTAAGTAGTCCTAGACTGGAATCTAGCTAACTCTCAGGATTGGAAAGATATATTCAAAACCACAGGAGATCCTGGGTGTGAGCGCTGTTCAAGGTTTTTGGGATACAAAGAATGAAATCTTTTTTCCCCACACTTCCTGACGTTATCTCCTCTGTACCGTCTGCCAAGGGGGCTATCTCCAATTCTGCCCTTTCCCTCCAGTTCCGAGCTTGCATCATGGAGATGGTGTGTGGCAAGGCCATGATAGATGAGTCTGACATCTCCCAGAAAACAGAAGTTTCTACTGTCTCTTCTAGCCAAGTTGGCCCCAACTAAAGAGCCATATTGGCCTATTTACATCAACTAGGATTTTCCATTAAAGGAAATTTCTACTTTCTCGGTCAAAAACCAAACTACTAACAACACAGAACACAGATGGGAAAGAGTGATGGAATTTGGGGGGTCAATTTCCCATTTTCCTGTTATTCCCTTCCTACCTACAAAGCCCCTGTTCCAGCTGGTTGACTTCAGAACACTCCAAAGGCCACTGCAACAACCATCAGTTTCTACTTCTAAGTGGAAGCATTCACAGCACTTGGAGAATCGATTTCCACACACAAGGCAACTATAAACAAGTACGGCTGATTTTCTAGTGTATGGATAACAAGTCTTTTCCTTTTCAGTAACATTGTTTTTCTTACTGAGGATGTGTTCTGAGGTGACACATTCTGCATTAGGACAAACTACGAAAACACCTTCAAAATGGGAGACAAAGAAAAACAAATAAAACATTTAGTAGGCCCCACATGAGTCTGAAAGAATTTCTCTCTCTGCCAATGGTCGCTATAGCTTTGGCAGGGACAGCCATGTCCATGAGCCCCTGAGCCAGCATGAACTGTTTTAGGTGCTTCCTTTCCCCTCTCCTCCTATTTGGCTAAATCTGTCTTAGGCTGTATATTTGCTAAAGTTAATAGTTTAATTCCCTTCATGTTCTCACAATGAATTTGGACATCTTAATACCATTTATAAACTATACCAAAAGGTTCAAAAACCTGTTTTACCTTATACCGGCTATACCCCCTGAAAGAGCCTTTTTGAAATAAAAATCCAGATAAATGTTGTGTGTACATTCAGGGATGGTCTGTGTTTGGAATCAGAGAATTAATTAACGAGCAGCTGGGCTCCACTCCAGTTAGACGGCCGAAGGGAAGCAGAAAAGGGTCACAGCTGTAGTGAGAAGGGTGCTCGAGATTTCAGAAATAGGAGGAAAGGAGAAACCAACTTGGGAGAAGGCAGGAACTTCTCTGGGCTAGGGAGGGGGTATGCTCAACCTTCTAGGAAAGCTCCTTTTCCATGACTCCATAATTCTAAGCAAGAGTTCCATTTCTTAAGAAAATAAAGGACATACATATTCACAATGAATGTAAACAGTTTTATTTAGAAACAGATAGGTACCTGTTTGCATTACAGAATATAAAACTTGGTTTACACTCTATAAAAAATAACCAGTATCCAAATTCAAGAGAGCTAGCATTCACAGAACACACAATGTGGGTGTGCAGCTACTGTTCACCAGCCTCAAGCTTGATTTAAACCAAAATGATAATCCAGGGGGATTATTAAAGATTACAGTGCTTGCTGCTTAGCACCCAGCATCCAGAAGTTGCCGTCTTAGCAGATGAAGGTTTGCTTTCTAGGTGCGTGACTTTCACATAAAGCCTGGGTTCTCTGCACCTGGTGAGCTGTGAGGCTCTCCTGCCTACAGCTCATGATGTGCCCTCTCTACCTACGCCTGGGTTGGTGGCATCATTAATTATCTCTGGTCTTCTTAACAATAAAAATGGGGAATCTGGAGGGCAGAGAATTTTCATTCTCCTATATTGGGGTTAAACTTAAAGAGTTTATCCACTCTCAAGGGGTCAGTGTGAAGGCCAGGGTGAAGTTACACAATATGTGGCTTTTTACCAGGCCAAGTAGCCCACCTCAACACAATCATGGAAGACCAAAGGATATACCTAGGTTCAGATTATAATAATCACCCAGCACCACCTGAATGTATTATCCAGAAAGATAAATGAAATAATAGAGGTTAAATATACATATATTTATCTTAGTAACCTGAGGGCTAAAGACTTGGAATATAATAATTCTTCTCAAAAGAGGTCCAACTGTAAGAAAGGGACCAAAAAAGATAGTTTGTGTCATGTAAAATATGGGTAAAGTGAGTTGGGAACAGAGGATGGTTTCTTCAGCTCTTTCTACAGCCCTCTCTTTGATGAAGACTGGCAATCTGTGGATCCAGGATAAACTTGTCTTTTGGCAGCAGGGAGTCAGAGGAGATGGGGGAATAGGGAATGATGGATCAAAGGCAGGAAGGATGAGCAATGGTCCTCAAACCAAAGAGCCCTCTCTGTAGGCCCTCTCATCTTTGAGTCTGAGCTCAAGCTCTCCGGCTGACACAAAAACAGGCCTGGTAGTAAGTGGTTAGCATTCTGAGGTATGAGGATCCCTGGTAAATTCAGCAGCACGTGGTTTTTGGAAACCAGCCCACGAGATAAGAACACTGCAACCAAGCTCCTAACTAATACTGCTATTTAACCACTGTCCGAAAGAGAAAGGGAAGAAAAAAATCCCCACTATAGTGGGAGGTTCTAAGTTGCCATATAGGATGGTCCAAATAATCTTCTCTTTATCTTAGGATTTCTTAAGAGAATCCTCATTCAGTGATCATTTCTTTCATTCAAGGCACTTTCAATGATATGATTGGAAAGGAGTCCACTTTAACTGCAGTGAAAGCAAGACTAGTTCCTCAGAACACCTGGGGAAATAGGAGCCAAATGGGGCACTTACAGTGATTCAATAGGCAAGGCAGTCTTGAGCACTGCAACAGATGCACACCCAGAAAAGTGTGCGCCCTGGAAACACTTGTATTTTTCCTTTAGTTTTCCAGTTGTTTCTATGTATAGCTCTCTAAAGAGATCACACTCACGACTTGATTGATTTTCAAGACACTGGCCCTAACTCTTCCCACCACAGCTGCGCTTGACAAAATTAGCAAACAGCTAGTCCTATGGGAAAGGAAAAAAAGAATGAATGAAATCAAGTTGAGCCAAGTTTTCTTACAGCACAGGGATCTGTCCTTGCCCAGATAACACCAAGATCAGCTGCTGGACCTGAAGCAGCTGAATGGAATATCTAGCTCCTACTACTGATGACATATACTTTCAATAGTCAAGATTAAGTGTTATCTTTCTAAATCAAATTGTGGGGTATATTCTTTCCCTTTTCTCTCTCCTGAACATCTTTTATTGATCTCAGGCTTAGTTAAGTCGGAATTATAAAAATTATATGGTAAGGGTCGAGAAAGAGTGAAGGGCTAATGTTTGCCTACAAGTGTGAGTTGAGGATTTTGATCCTTCATATCATACTCCCAACCAGAGAACAAATATAAAAATAAACACACCGTGTTATACATAATACAAAGTGTAAATCTACAAACACACGTGTACTAATTAGAGTTGTTCCTCAGAAGCACGATTTCCCTCCAGTCGCTCAGAGACGAGGAGGAATGGGGACGGGATGGTTTTCGTTACGCCTTTTCATGTCTTAAAAAGTTTGTAATAACAGTCTCAGTAGCGCAAACAATTTCATGTGAAACCAAAAGCTGTAAAAATAAATTACTTTTGAAGAAATGTGGGTTCCTCTATCTGCAGCTCAGAATTCATCATGTCGTACTAAAGCCTCACCAAAATCTGTGGCCTGGCTGCCCACAAATAAATCATACTTGTCAACAATCTCCTCCTTGGTAAGCTTGCCATCCTGAAATTAGAGAGAACAGTGAATTCAGACAAAATATATCTCCCATTCTAAATTTAGAAACACTGCTATAGAATAGGCGTTAGTCAAGATTTAAGATTCTAAATTCCGCTAAATTAAATGTGAACTCAACTCTCACCCCATGGCCTACCCATACACACGGAAGAAAATAGCGATTAATACACTTTTCTTATCAAGAAAGTTAAAAGCGGAAGAATGGAAATAATATAGCTCAATGACTCAATGCTGGAGACATGGGTTTGTTTCTTGAGAAGATAATACTCCCTTTTGAGCAAAATGTGGGACATCTCCTAGATATGAGTAAGAGATAGTCAAGAAGAACTGGGTAAAATACTTCAAGGTGAACAAAGTCACTGCCTAACAGCAACAATGAAATCTACTAATATCAAGCCTAGTCCTTACCTCCACTATGCCCTAGCCACCAATCAGATTCAAGATGCAACTCAAATGAAGGCGCAGACACTCATCTCAAAAGTTAGCTAGGCCAGACTCCCAAGGGACGACTACCTGAGTTTCCTTTTCTCACATATCTCAGGACACAGCATCTGGCTACTGAAGTGACTGAGCAAGAACTCAAAACAGACTAACCTTTAAAAAGGCTCGATGATAAGAAAATGCATTTGAAACTAAAAATGAGCCTAACTAAAAGAATGTTCAGGATACTAAAACCCCCCATCTTTAGATTGATTTTCAGCTTACTCTAAGCAGAGCATTCAAATCTCTGAAAAAGGTGACCGGGCTTAGTGATAACACCACTCTTAATGAACTAAATGCCTCAGATAACTGATCAAGGACAACTTTTTTTTTTTTTTAAAGATTGGCACCTGGGCTAACAACTGTTGCCAATCTTTTTTTTTTTCTGCTTTATTTCCCCAAACCCCACCCTGTACACAGTATATCTTAGTTGCAGGCCCTTCTAGTTGTGGGACAAGGACAATTTTAACAGGATCCAGAGAAAAGCTGATTTATAACCTACTACAAAGGACTTAATTTTAAAAAGCATATTTGACTTAAAGAAGGAAATAACCAGCTTTGAGTAGGCAAAATGAGCCTATAATAGGTAAAAGAACAAAGAAAATAAAAAAGCAAAGAAAATTTCCTGGAGATCCAAAGAAACAGATGATGCTGGGCATAGGCTACATACAGAGGCTCTTTTCTGAAGGCTGAATTCCTCCAAAGCTATGAACACTGGGCAAAGGGATTTCTAAACGAGATCAGATAGCTAGTGCTGCCCTTTAAGTTTTCAATCACCAACTCTAGATCCGTAGCAGACTTAGACTAATTAAGACCTTAAATGCTCTATGAACCTTAATAGGAACTTTTTAGGCAATCCCCTGGAAACAGACTTGGATCACTGCTAGACTGCTGAGGCCTGGCCAGACTTACCTTGTTCTGGTCTGATTCATAGACCAGGTGCCTGGCTTCTGCCTCTGCATGATCATAGTCTGAGGGGAGGATCCAGTCTTTGGTCTCTTCCTTGTCCATCTTTCCATCACGGTTCTTATCTCGAAACTCAACAAATTGTTCTCTCTCTGTCTTTACCCATTCGGGCTCATCGGCATTTCCATCATGGCTGTACATGTCACCTTGTGTGCACAGACATACAAACAAATGAAATGAGAAGATGACTGACATTTACTTCAAAATAACAAAGGAGGTAAGGAAGTGGATGTGGATTTGAAAGGACTGGCCATGGGCTCATGGGTGTTGGTGGTGGGCTTGGGTACACAGGGATTCATTATCTATTCTATCTGATTTTGTCTATATTTGCAATGCTCTATAATAAGCTGAAAGAATAAAAACAATTCAACGGTGTATCTCTGGGGACTTCTTATTGACGCTAAATGTAAGAGGCAAAGACCATTTATTTCTTTATAATCTCTCTTGTCAACAGGGCAGAAACTAGCACATCCCTAGAAACTGGAAGACAATGTTTGGGAGACTTTTAGCTTTACAAAGCCCAACACCCCCGACGTAAGTGTTCACGTTAGTTGATTTGCAAAAGAAAGCAACACACACACAGTTGATAGTTTTAGTAGTTTCAAGATACAATTCCTCTGCCCTTGAATCTTATGACGGGGAGGGAGACAGAAATATCTCCTTTTGGCCTCAATGCTTAATAAACGATGCTACTTAACAGTTATAAAACATAATTCCTTTCCTCAGGAGGTTCAAATGAGTTCCTCAGTTTCAGCAATGGTAATAAAGTGGAAAAACCCAAGAATGAAAAGATAAAATATTTAAAAGTAGAAATACTCAACTTTGAAACGAGCTCAGTAAATGCACCCAGGCACTCATTTCCACTATGCTGATGAACTCCACTAAAAAAAAATCATTTTGGAAAAAAATCCTATCTTCCATTGCTCATCCTTCTTTCTCTAAAAAACTCAAGGTACATCATTGAGTCTTAGAAGAAAAAAGTGGTCAATATTCAAGGAGTAATTCAACTGGGATAACTCTAGAAAATAAATAGCAGGTATAATTAGACAAAATCTGAGTAAAAGAGTGACTGGTTCAATGCAGTTTAAGTGACAGAAGTAGGGCTTAAGTCTCCCTTTCACACTTAAAATAAATATTTCAGGTAAAGTTCAGAGGTCTAAAAACAAACTGATATATGAAAAATAAAACCAGTGGTATACTAAAATTAAGTTACTATGAGTAAATATAAGGATGTGAAATACAAAATTATCTAGTATCTTTCAAAAGGAATGACATTTGTAACAAAAGTCTTAATGTCATCCATCTCTTCTCCTTTACTTATATTAATTTCCATTATAGTAATTGTGAAACAATGCTCAACTACTTGCTACGAGATGCAGCTCCTTTTTTTTTTAAAGCAAGGGGGAAATTCTGAAATTATTCCAAGGAAAATGAAAACAGCTTTTTGAGAGAAATTAGCCTTGAAGGTGTAGCATCCAAAAAAAAAAAAGGGAAAGGCTCTAAGAGGAGTCAGCCCCTCCCGGTTGCTTATCACCCACCTGTCTCTTTTATTCCATTCCCTACCTTCTTCTCCTGGGCTTCCTAATGCCAGTCTAAGCTCCCTGCAACTCTTTACTGTCAAGTCCGCAGGGCATCTGGGATGCGCTGTATCAGTGCTGCCCAGTAAGGGAGCCACTAGCCAATGAGGCTATTGAGGACTTGAAATGTGGTTGGTTCAAACTGAGATGTGCTGTAAGTATGAAACATACTTTCGAAGACTTTAGTATGAGAAAAAAACCCTCAATAATTTATACTGATAAAATGTTGAAACTATGGTTTTTTAGAATATTAGGCTAAATAAAATAAATTATTGAAATTAATTTCATCTGGTCATTTTACTTTTTCTGATGTGGCTATTAGAAAAGTTAAAATTACATATGAGGCTCACATTTACATTTTGATTGGACAGTGGGGCTACAGATACTTTATCATGACCCACTTCTTCTCACACTGGTCTGGCTTAATGATGTGCTGAGAGCTGGGGTAAACTGTTTCTATGGGTGAACATATCTTCCAAAGCTTCTCAGCTTCTTCTAAAA